GTTGTAAAGTAATTCCTTTAATGACTTGATAGATTATTCAATATAATCATATTGTTATGTTAAATTCTCAAGTAACTTTGACATGAGATTGTACTAGTTTTGATGTCTATAATAATATTTCTTAGCTCAAATAACACTAATTCGATCGGATAGAGAATACTTGTTTAGTCTATGTCAAATAACTTTTTTTTTTCTCAATAAGATGTTAAATATTTCACATGCACCGTAATATTCATCATTGTATATTTAATATCATTAAATGAGTTTATTTACCATATATTTTAATTTTTTAGTTTTTATATTTATATATTTGAAAATTAAAAATCTCTTTATATATCGTTCAATTTAATCAAGTTGAGCTCACCTTATGCTCAACTCGAATGAGTCGAGTTGGACACGAGCTCATTTATATTGGGCCCCGCATTCCATCATGACACAAGGTGATGTGAATCTAACCGGGTAAAATTGAAAACTAACAAGCCCAAAGTCATATGATAAAGAAGAAGGATTGATGGACTGAAATTTAAGTAATTTGGGGCTGAATAATTAAATAAGTCCATTATTTTTTTTTAATGTAATTTTTGTTTTATTAATTTTATTAAATAAGTCAGATGGTTTTCCAATTACCTAGGCTAGCATTTAGTATTTTAGGCTTCTTTGTAGAATTTAATACTTTTTTTTTTTTTATTTTTTTGTTTACCTAATGTCGCTATGGGCTACATAATTTTTTTAAGCCCATCAGCTGTGGTGGGCCAGCTGATAGCGACACTGATCCAACCCAACCAAGCAAAAAAAAAAAATCACGTGTCATGATGTCGCTATGAGTCATAGCGACACCCAGTAAAAGAGCTCCAAAGGTGTAAAATATTTCAAAACAGCCTCATTTTGGTAATAAGTTTCTAAAAGTGCACCACAATGGTCGTTTAGCCTATTATTTACACTATTTTTGGGCCTTATTTTGGGTTTGAGCCTCCTTATTTATTTGCATTATTCGGATCATATTACTATTTATTTTTTGTTTGTACGAAGAATATCTCCAATTGATCGAACACAACAAAATTCCAGACAAAGTGATTATTGAAATAAGTTTTATCTTAAAAAAAGTTTTTTTTTTTTAAATACGCATGATTAGATAATCAAACGTCTACTGACATATTTAAAGAACTCAGTTATTTATCAATGATGTTTGAACTTTGAACCTTGTGGGTCATATTATTATATTTTGGAGAGGTTAGATAAAAAGAATTTTTTATTATAAGATCATAACTTTTTTTTTTAAAACCATTGGAATTACATTAACACTATCAGGGTTCAAACTTAAAACTTCCATTCCTCACTGTTAGGCTGATCCTAGTAGTCTAGATCATAAATTGATTTTAGTTTATTTTTGAAGTTTAATTATTTTATTTTATTTTTCTTATAAGTATTTACGAATTTTCCTATAAGATCTCGGACGTACATATCTAATGAATCGAGGTTTTCTGTTCTAGTGTAAAAATAATAATTATATACAATAAATAATATAAAAAAAACTAAATTAAAAATGTTGAATACATGGTCGGGTTACAACTGCACGATATTATGTAAAATTCATACATACATTTGCGGCAGGAAAATATGTTGGATTATTATAATTAAAGTTGTGGTTGCTTACCTGTTATTATCCTACTACCAACTAAGGCTATGATCTGTGTGGGGCATGTGTCTGTATCTGTGTCTGTGATGGTAAACCATGCATGGTGTGTCACTCACTCTGCTGCCAAACACATTTTAATTAGTCTTCAAAACTTTTGATCTTCATTCTGTCTTATCCCTTATTTACATGCATTAGTAATTCGCATTGGGTGAGCTGTAAGAACAACTTGGTCATTGGTCAACATTGGAAACATAGAGGATCAGAAATATAAAGCTTTTAAAAATAATTTAATGAATTTTGACAAGATTACTTCTCTAATATTTTTCCAACTATCTTTAAGTAATTTTGTAACATAAAACTCTGGCATAAAATTTAAAGATACATTCCTGATTCCCCTCAAGGCTAACAAATGTTACGGACTGTTGCACCCAAATCAAGAAAAACACAACGTGGATTTATTCACAGGAGTGAAGAAAGAAGGAAAGAACATTATCTCTGTTGATTGTTCGTTAAATGTTAAATCAATCACAACATGGCATGTGCATGGGGGGGGGGGGGGGGG